TTCATTATTAATCAGTGATCAGGTTTGGTCCTGATGAGACTCTTTAGACCTGCTTCCTGTTTACAGATGATGTAACATGTCGGGTTGTACTGAGCATGTGCAGAAGCTCGCTGATGTTTTATAAACGTTTATTTGTTTCTCCATCAAACGCCGTCAGAGCGAGACAGAAACAACAACAACAACAACAGATAAATGATCCATGTGAGCCATCAGTATAAACATTAAACACAACAAACATAACACGCTAACAAACAATGCACTAACAAACAACACGCTAACAAACAACACGCTAACAAACAACACGCTATGTTTAACCTGCAGTGTCTCTAACAGCCAGCAGGGGGCAGCTCCACTCTGATAGTATTGAGTCTTATGGAGAGGTTGATTTATGAGCTCAGTAAACAGTTTCAGTCTCTAGTTTCAGTCTTCTTCCATACAGCATGATGTTCATTTAGTACCTGATGGTCCCATTTAGAGTCAAACAGACCATAAAGCAACAAACACTACAAACACGAGCCGTTCACAGTCGGTTACGGTGCATTGTTTTATTTGTTGTACTATAACTGTACATCATGGGAGCTGTAGTTTACAGTTGAACTAGACAGGAAGTGACATCATGGTTAAAACAACTGATGGTGACATCACGTGGCAGCAACCAATGAGAGAGTTCGGTTATGTCTCCAGGTGTCTCAAGGTGTCTCCAGGTGTCTCCAGCGCTCCCGTGGCGTCCAGGATGCTGCCGGCCTCCATTCAGATCACAGGCGAGCTGCTGTCGGCGGCCGAGGTCCAGGACATCTGTGAGAGTCTGAAGGAGGACAGCGTGCGGCTGCTGTCCGTCCGCGGCTGCCAGCTCTCCGACCGCGACTTCAGCCGCGTCTGCCGCAGCGTCGCTGAGTCGCGCTCGCTCGCTCAGCTCAACCTCAACCTGGGCGTGGTCTCGAGCATCAGTCGGACCCGCCACCTGGCCGACGCCCTGAAGACCAACCGGTCCCTGCAGACCCTGTTGTAAGTCTCTCGTCTGATTGGCTATTAAAAAACGTCACAATGTGATTGGTTTGTAAGACTCTGGTCCCGCCCCCTGCAGTCTCCACGGTAGCCCGCTGTTGGACGCCGGCCTGGTGACCTTGAACTCGGCCCTGTCGACCCACCCAGCGCTAGTCAGTCTGGATCTGGGAGACTGCATGCTGGGAGACGAGGCGCTGGGTCTGATCTGCGGGATGCTGCCGCCCGACGGAGCCAAGTCAGGTAACAAACACCTGGAAACTCCCAGAAGGCACTGGGGCAACACCTGGCCGCTGTGTGTGGGTGGTTGACAACACCACAGGAACAGCCGGCACTCGCACTACCCCCCCAACGCTCTAGCAACAACCTGACATTACCGTACCGTATTACCGCAGACTGTTTCAGCTCTCAGAAGTCAGACCTGGTCGAGGCAGATGACCACC